CACATCAACCGAATGTGATATCTACGTTGTAAATTGGGAAAGTTTTTCTGATTCGACCTTCCAAGATTGACCGTTTTCAGCAACTTTAAAAGGGAAATCTAACGAATCGATTTTCATGTTGGTAATAGAAGCAAACTCATTTAATATTTTGAATTAATAAGTACATGATTATAAATCGAAAATAACTTTCCTTTTAAAGATACAAATACATCATGATCCAAAATTACCACAGTTGACTACACATCAAAACAATTTACATATCTAATTCAAATTACACAAAAATAAATCTATTTTCTAATCTTCCCGCGATGAAGAAAGAGTAAACGTGTTTCAAAATCTAATTTAAAAATCGCGTCGAGTATGTTTGCAGAACAATATGCGCTATGGCAGGCTATGTTGTATTGTTCAATGGCAAATGCTGCGAAAAAGTTTCTAATCATTACAGACTGCTTGAACATGTTGAACAACTTACTACAACTATACTCGAAAGATGCTCTAAATCTGGTATGCCAATCCACCCTGAAATACCTAAATCAAGAAAAAATATCTGTTATAATCGTATGGGTTCCGAGTCATGTCGGAATAGCAGGAAATGAGTTAGCAGATAATGCTGCCAGATCTGTCATCTCAAACGAACACGTTGATGTGAAACAAAATAGATGCAGAAGACCTAAAAAAACTATTAAAATAATGCACAATTGCACAACTTTATCCCAGTTTAAGAAAAATTTAGTTTTATGTTTATAAAAATATTATTTACTTACTTCACTTGTTTTTATCAGATAGTTACTTGTACCTATACGTATTTTTTAGTCACAATCATTGTTCTCAAAACTTTATATGGAATGTTATTTCTGTTGTTTTGAGCAAACACCTAAATAAATAAATAAACAATTGAGAAATGGCAACAAAAATGCATGTAGTACTCACCTAAGCAATATTAAATCACGCGTCTCTGGCGTGTATGGTCAGCGGCATACACCTAGGGAAGATAACGTAAAGGCTCACCGTATACGAATAGGGCACACTAAACTTCCGCATCAACATTTGCTTAAAGGTGAAGCTGCTCCTCGCTGTAATCAGTGTCAGGTGGTATTGAATATAAAACACATAATACAAGACTGTCCAAAATACCAACTACAACGAATTACACATAAATTAGGAATGACGTACGTGGATAACTTGCGCAACCCCGTGAATATGAAAAGGACACTTGAATTTCTGAAAGATGTCGGTATATACCAAGAAGTGTGACCTGAAAATGTGAGGTAGTAGAAACAGTTGTGTGGTACAAACTGGTGTATAAAGGGGATATGACCTTAGATGCTAAACCCTATACCGAAAAAAAAAAGTACGATTCTAGAGAGATTGATTTCTATTTAAATCACTTAATTTTTTGTAACCGAGTGCTATAAACAGGGTTGGATTGGTCATATAGGCGGTCATTTGCCAATTGGGGGCTCGACTATCCAACCCCCAATGTACAAGTATACAATGCGGAACTTGTCTTAGTAGAAATCCTTCAAATGGTTTCGATTCTGACAGAGATAGGGAGAGGGAGCAGAACTTGAAAAAAATGATGATGGCGAATATGAAATAACAAAGAGTGTCGTTGTTCATTCAGAAAGGGGTTGTTTTGAAAACACTTCTAAACTATTTTTTATACGTTTTATGACAGAGTTAACGAATCTTTTAAAAAAAACTTTCGTAAAAATACAATCTCGTGAATATGGTTATTCCCGAATTAAATGCTTCCTTTTGTTTTCCAGGTTCATATGAACTCAGCAGAATACTACCTCAAAAAACCAAGAAAATGAAAAGTGAACTAACTATAATTAGGTGTTAATTAAGTGCCCTATCCTCGAATTAAATGCTCCTTATAAGCGCAAGTCACATTTATGTCGCCCTGCCCTGCTCATTTTTATGAAATGTTAAATGTGTTGAAATGGGCTTCACTACGCTGTACCATTTTATCTTTGTACGCCGCCGAGTCAATATGTATTTCTACATTTCAATAAATACACTCTCAAAAGATCTTGGCTTCTCTTCATTTTGCGATCCGCGACCTAGGTAAAACATGTAGGTAACAAAGTAGGATAAAAATATCAAGAATTCAAGATTTCTATAATTTTACATTTAGCCTATTCAACATGTGAAAACTAACTGAGAATTAAAAAGCTCTTTAAGCAAAATATACTAAAGATATTAAGAACTTAATTCTTGAATATTGTCGTAAGATCAAATGAAATTAAAAATTAGTAACTGCGAAATAAATTGTGAAAGGGCTTGGTCCAAGGATCCCGTGCGTACCCAATTTTGTGGCTTTGCGCATGCGCAGTGTCAAAAATTTGGTTTTTATTATACCTCCATCAGAATCGCTGTTTAAAACACGCCTGAGCGTGCGTAAAAAGGTGATAAAACACGCCGAGCTTTGAGGGTTGCTAAGTAACGTTACTTCAAATATGACATATGAAACTGTATTTGTAATGTGGGATTGAAATAAAATATCCCCTCGGATCGCTTTTTGCAAATGAAAAAGGTGTCTTTGGCTCGTATCCTTTGTGCACCGAAGGGTAGAAGATTTAAATACCTACCTTTGATATTTCCTTCATATATGACAGCATGAACAATGCATTTAAGACCTTGTTTGGAAGATGCTTCCTATTATTCCACGCCATTTTCATATATTTTTTATAATAGGTTTTTGCATGTGGATGTTACAGGTTCTTCTGCTGCAGAAATAAGCCACTGAATAGACGGTGTATTGTCTTGTTCAACCGAAGTCATTTTATTTACAAAGACGGTGATTTTTGATACGCGAACGTCAAGTGACATTTCCATGGCAATCATGGAATGATAAATAATCAGCTCACTTAATTAGAAATGTATTCGAGTATAACGTCAATATGATTTCATTGTATTTCCCTTATTTTTAAATTATATTGCAGGTATAATAAAAAATACTATAAGAAACGCGTGTATAATTGGTCTTTAAAGCACTTGCAACGTTTAAACGTCAAGTGACATTTCCATGGCAATCATGGAATGATAAATAATCAGCTCACTTAATTAGAAATGTATTCGAGTATAACGTCAATATGATTTCATTGTATTTCCCTTATTTTTAAATTATATTGCAGGTATAATAAAAAATACTATAAGAAACGCGTGTATAATTGGTCTTTAAAGCACTTGCAACGTTTAAAGGCACTCCGCTGCGCGTCGTGCCATTAAACTCGTTGCGCGTGCTTTAAAGACTTGATTATACACTTGTTTCTTAATATACTATTAACGCATGTGCGATGCTAACTTTTTTATTTATGAAAGCATTTAAATGAAATTTAGTATACCTACAGGCACTTGGAATATAAAAGTAACTATTACCGGATTCAAAATTTCTTTTTTGTACTCCGTGGACTAAATGAACGTGTTTTGTCATTCGTTTAAGGGTCTAAAGTGTCACTTTTTCTCCCAGAAGGATTAAAATGGAATGAGGGACGAAAAGTGACAGTACACATCATCTTTTTGAATTTTGGGAGGCAGTAATTTCCTCATAACGTTCATTTTATATGAACCTGGCAGAACATGTAATAATTTTTAAAAAAAGGAGCATTTAATTCGGGGATAGGGCACTTAATTAGCACCTAATTATAGTTAGTTCACTTTTCATTTTCTTGGTTTTTTGAGGTAGTGTTCTGCTGAGTTTATATGAACCTGGCCGAACATGTCAGTTAATTAGCACCTAATTATGGTTAGTTCACGGTCGAACACAAAAAAATGCCTTAAAAGTACTCACTACATGTTGTATATAATTCAAATTTTTGGCTGAACCCGCCTGTACAAATACGATAATCGACGAAAATGTTGATAGCAAGCAATTATACGTAAGTTAAATGTTTAGTTGTAAGATGTTTCTTTTAGTTATTATAATATAAACAGTTCTTGACAAAAAGCCGACATGAAGTGATGAGAATAAATTGCATTTAGATTTGTGTAATTATTTATTGTGCTTAATTCGTTAACCATACGCGTGACGAATTTCATGAGATAACCAACACTGGTCCCATGACGATTGTCATTGTTGAATTGGCATATCGGATACAAACTTTCATTTTAACGAAGACACAACTTTCAAATCGAAAAATCACCTCCTCTTCTATAACGTGTAACTAATTGCGTAAACTCTGACTTGGACAGCAATCGCATTGTCATCTTGTATGACTTCTTTTTAATTTAACTGGCAAACAAGACTTCGATACACCAGCTGACTACCGGAAAAATGCGTTTTTGAAGTTACGCACGTCAAATGTACCGAGATCGGCTCGTTAAATTGGCGCGCCATTCTTTTTAAGTCCAGACCATCTCCCTCACAATTTTTCATATTCGGTAAGGGCCGAAGAAATGTGAGCAGTTATTTACATCTCACTTCATTCCATCGTTTATCGAAATCAATTAAATTTTACTTTGATAAAGTCCCCTTATCAAACATCTGTTAAATAATTCACGTATAGACGCAATTATCCCTTTGTCGACATGCTTCTTAACTTCTACGCCTTACATTATAAAAACAAATAAAATCGACTACATTATTGAACAAAATTACAGGAAAAGTAAAATACCAATAAAATTCATGAAATATGTCCCTATTTGTAAAAAAATTCCACCAGATTTCCTTTAAGCCTGTATTAGACGGTAACTTTTTTTACAGCAGATTTGTTACAAAAAATTATTCACAAAAATCTGTTTACAATAAAAAGGAAGCAAATTGCCGACCTGTATTACATGAAATTATTTCTGTGAACAAAAATATTACGTGAGACGGCGCAGTAACGATTTTCAGGTAGTTGATATGAATAAAAACACTACAAAATCATGTAGTTACTTTTGCTTCTCAAAGTTTGAAGTGTGAGATTGTACATAACCTATAGGTATTAATTGTTTTAAATTCAACAATTTATTATGAATTTTGCCAATGCCAAAAAAATAGGAGTGTTATCGGCTGCAGCTGGAGTAATATGCGTTTTACTAATGAAGCAGCTGAAACAAAAAACTAAAAAAAAAAGAAGAATATGGTCTGAAAAGTGGCTTTTAAAGCGGCAAGATGGAAGAGGTGTTCTACATATGTTAGAACAAGAATTGCGAACGGAGGATCCAGAATCTTATCGCCAATTTATTAGAATGTGTGGACAACATTTTGATGAACTTCTTGAATGTATACGAAGTGATATTGTGAAACAAACCACTAACATGAGAGAAAGTATTTCTGCTGAAGCAAGGTTTGAGATATAAAAAAGTTAATTCAAATTTAATTGAGTTTTACAGGTTAGCATTAACTCTAAGATTCCTTGCAACAGGAGAAACTTATCGATCTCTAATGTTTGCCACCCGAATACATGAAAGCACCATTAGCTTGATAATTCCTGACGTTTGTAATGCAATCTGTGAAAAATTAAAATCTGTAAATTTACAGGTACATCATTACTATGTCCATATTTGTGTACTACTGATTTTGCTTTAGATGCCAACTACAGAATTGGAGTGGAGAGTTATTGCCTCCGAGTTTCAAAAACATTGGAATTTTCCATTATGTCTAGGTGCCATTGACGGAAAACATATAAATTTTAGGCCTCCACGAAGTTCAGGATCATACTACTTTAACTATAAAGGGGATCACAGTATTGTGCTTCTTGCAGTTGCAGATGCATCTTACAAATTTCTGTACGTTGATATTGGTGTCAATGGTAGAGTAAGCGATGGAGGAGTTTATAGAGAATCCTCCTTAAAATGGGCAATAGATCATAATACATTAAACTTTCCTCCCCATGAATGCTTACCTGGTCAAAATACACAATTGCCTTATACATTTGTAGCTGATGATGCATTCCCTCTGTCAACGAGAATCATGAAACCGTATCACAGTCGTGGATTGACAAATGAGCGAAGAATATTTAATTACCGATTGTCACGGGCAAGACGAGTAATTGAAAATTCGTTTGGCATCTTGGCCAATAGGTTCAGGATTTTATTAAATACAATAAATTTGAATCCTGATAAAGTTGAACTAATTACCTTAACTTGTTGTATTTTACACAACTTTTTATTAGAAAAAAATCCGAGATATTTAGAACCATCTGAAAATACCGAGGATAATATAGGTAAATTGAAAAAGTTGACAGATATGCAAGGTGGCAATAGAGCTGCCAGTGAAGCTTTAGAAGCACGAAATTTATTTTCAAGATTTTTTGTTACGAATGGGGCAGTACCATGGCAGAACGATGTTTTGTAATGACAGTGGTTATTTTGAAATTAATATAAACCAAAAATAGTATTGTTTCTTTCATTTAACACTTGTTTACATATTTACAAATCATTCGGCTTCTTCAATTTCGGCATTAAAAATCAGGGTCTCAATGTGATGCTGTAGTTTCAATTTCCTTTTTCTGCTTTGAATTGCACCGATCCGTGAACATATATATTTTGCGTATACTTCATCGGGATCTTCTGTGGAAGTCCCAAGTACCGATGACACTGCGGTAGTTAACTTATCTAATGCTTTCGAAGCTTTTTCGGTAACGTCGACATTATGATTTCTGTCGTCTTTTTTGTATTTTTTCCGAGCAGATCTACAAGTTGCAGTTTCTCCCACATATACATTATCATCGTTGGGAACTGGACTACCGCTTCGTATAAGGTGTAATTCACCTTGAGGTTGCAACTCATATTCGCCCTCTAACAGACTAGTTGGAGAATCAGTTAAATAGTTTTCGCTTTCTTCTGTAGCGTACGATGAAACAGACTTTCTTATATTTAAATGTTCGTTTAGAAATACCAGCTTTTCGTAATACCACAGCGATGGTATGTAGATCTGAAATGATACCTAATTTATATTTTCTGTACATAACTAACAGTTTTAACTCACGTCTTCTGACCCAGCCCCACTACGAGAGCTTGCAATGGATTTCCTTCGTTCACTGGCATATGTATTTCTAATACCATTCCATTTCTTCTGGATTTCATGTATGGAAGTATTTGGACGTATTTGATTCATTTTTTCGCAAATTTGTTGTAACGCAGCATTTCTTCGGTTTTTATTATGATAATCGCGATGTTGAACAAAGTATAAACACTCGTGCTGTTGGTATTGCTCAATCAGCAATGAAACCTGATCATTTGACCACGACATCGCGACATAAAAGAGTTCTTGGCGGTTGATACAATTTCAAAATGTGTTTTGTAAAATATTTACATATAGGTTATGAGCAAGGTCGATATCCACTGAACTGAAGTTAGTTCTTGAACAGCTGACTGTTTATTAAAGCAATACGCATGCTCACATCTGAAATATTACCAAAATTTGTATGGGAATAGAACAAGTTCTATTTTTCATCACATTTTGTATACATTTTGATATGAAAGCTATTAATTTCTGTTTTAGACGGTCATAATTCATTTGTTTATAAATTTGGTAACAAATATATTGTAAGAAATGTTACCGTCTAATACAGGCTTTACATATCAGTGTATACCTACTACTATTTTTTAGTAGAGAAAATATCATTTTAAAGAAATGTTGAAATTTATCCCAAAAATTCACATTTTAAAGTTCAGTTCACATGTTTAAACAGTTTTCACTGAGGTTTGCTACCACTAGGCCCTTTCATTTCAGCTCGACTCTGGCTGTAAATTGATAGAAATGAAGTATCTGATTTCTTTAAAATTAAACAAAATTTAATTATTTTTAATGTTTTTAGGGTAGAATCTTTTGCATATACGTTTTAGAGTCGAGATGATGGATGCCTCCAAGGATTTGGTACCAGAGCTACAGGCTGGGCGCTACTTATGCAAGTTCTTTTGATACAAAAATCATGTTTACAAAATTTCTATCTAATCGCTGCTGTATTGTATGTTTACATGGCGGTTGCAAGTATCGCGTCCTGTCACTCATTTTTCTGAAAATCAAAAACGGCACCGATAAGATCAAATGACCCCAATCCTTATTACTAGCAGCAACTTTCTTGCGGGAGCTAAACAAATCGGCCTGATTAAAAAACATAAGAAAACGTGCTCGTTATTCAGCGAGTATGATCTCATTTTTCCTACAAAAAAATATTTTTAGCGAGTGATTAAGCTGGACACGTTTGTGAAAGATAATGGTAGATTAATGCGAACGGCCAGTACGAAATTAGGTAGATGCGTGTGGCGATAATTTTTTTGTCGCTTTCTGAACGTACCTAATTGTCGTTTTCTAAGCTAAGATTTTAGTTGAATATACATGCTATCTATATCTCTAACGGAAGTTACAATCACTTGAAAACTTATCAAATAATGAACTTTCGAATTCCGGTGTTTTTATAACGAAAGAATATCTAATCTTGCCAACAGTTTTTGGATAAAATGGACGAAATGAAGATCTGGAAATACCTCAAGGTTTCATTCCATATTTCCTAATTAATCATGACTAGACTAATAATAGAATGAGAAGAGTTAGTAGTAATTATGTACAGGTTCGATAAAAAAAAGGTTGAAAAATGCTCACCTTATTTTATCTAGAAGTCGTTCTTTTAGTGTAACAGTCGCAGAGAGGGAATCCTGGCGGACCTGCCGTATTCAATATTTTTATCAGATTCGCGTATTCTCACGTTCTGCGAGCGAGGATGTGCGATAACAACATTGGCTCTGTTATCTATTGGTGTTTGTTTGTTGAAATTAATTCTAAGCACAAACGAGAGATCGCTCATTAATCAACTTGGCAGATGTTGATGGGATGTACTCGAAATCTCCCTTTACTCGGACTTGCTTGATTTTACCCCTACATTTTCGTTAAAAATTTACCTCTATATCTATTTTACATCTCAGTATTAACGATTACATGCTATTGCTTTTAACAATATTTCTAATTACCTTCCTATTTTCATATGCTTAATTTCACAATAAAAATTATAAATTTAAATCCTTTACGGCTTTCAGTTTGTAGATTATGTTAATTCTTTAAACAGTATTATATGGGTGCCCTCTTTATATTTAAACAAAATTCCGCCAAAGATGAAGGAATCTCATTGCATGTTTGCACAAGTTTTTATTAGAAATAATTTCAATTTTCGCAAATTAATCGTTCGCCCATCACGCGACCGCTATCAGGAACATGATGATTTTTGAGGTTTTAATCAATAACCACCTAGGCCCCACTTACTTCAACAACCAAAAATTAAATGGCTAACCCTCTTACTTGTGATACATAAACGAAAAGCCTATGTTGGCATAAATAACACTGTCTTGTACCTACAGGATTTTATGCGGTTAACTTGTATTCCTTTGTTTTCTATGATTTTACCATCTCTGGCGTTATTCTATTGTGCTCTGCTGCGTTTCCATCGTTAAACCTTCTTACAAAGTTCTTTCATTTCTATCAAACCTACATATTGTTGTGTAAACCAAAAAATAATGACGGGACATCCTGTATATGAGAAGACTCGTATTTCAATTTATTAAGTAAATCTGGGGATTATATTCGAAATAAGGGCAGTGTTGGTTTATTGTACTTGAATTTGTATTTCAACGTTTGTTTTTCCTATTGTTTGTAATTTGTAGTGTTCGTTTTAAATTTTATCGCATTGTAATTGTTCAATTTAGATAACGTGTTAGAAGTAGGATAAGACATCTGGTCGGTTGCGATAAGGAGTTTTATCAGGCGAAAGTTGGTTGACGCACGTGTTTTATCGCCGTTAAAAGATAACAAAGAGGCAGGTGTTTCGAAGAATTGCGTGTTTGATAATTGGAAAGGTGGGAACGCTTGTCACGTTCCGTTGTGATTGATGGTGTTACTGAAAATCCGGAAGGAGATTATTTTATGGTGGAAGTGGAGGCAAAGGTGCTCACTTTGGTGCTGAATTCAAAACTGCTTCAGACGTGAAGGAATTCTGAATACTTGGAGAACTCCTCGTTCATTATTTATATGTTCTCCTAGTAACCAAAAAAATTGTATACGAGTTTGCTAATTGATACTCCTTTGCATTAGAAGCACCTCCACATTATATTTTCTTAGTAAAAGATTTGTAAACATTTTAGGGATCGGAAAACACGAAAATTCGCTGATTTATTTTTATTTTTAAAAAGTAGCTGGCTGGCTGGCCGGCTGGCTGACAGCAAATGTGGGCGCGTAGAAGAACACTTGTAGAAAGGCAACGGGTGTACGTGTATCTACAAGGTCTTGTAATTTGTCAACCTTAGGGACAGGGCTACATGATGTGGGGTTGGCGACATCTGGGCGTCATCCTCGAGCGTATTTTACTAACGTGAAGGTTTTTCAGTTTTTTCCGAGGTTTTTTCCTATCTTCTACTACAGTTTTGGTCCGATTCTTTTCAAATTGGTGTAGTCGGAAAGATGTTGTAAACGCGCACAAATCCTGCGTGGCGGAATTTTGTGGGTACCAACAAAGGGAATGTGGTAGCCCCCAAAACGATCTTACTGATGGTGAAGTCAAATCTTCAAACGGGGCGTCGGAAGTGGATACCGACAAAGGGAATATGGTAGCCCCCGACAAGATTTTGCTGATGGTGGAGTCAAAATTTTAATCGCGGAAAGTGGGAAGCGGGTACCGACAAAGTGAATGTGGTAGCCTTCGACAAGATCTTTTATTGATGGTGTAGTAAACACTGGCTATTAAAACACTGATCTGCCACACAAAAATGCGCTGAAGTCCCTTCGATCTCACACGAGGACTTTGATAATTTTTTTGTGAATTTATGTGAAAAGAGTTTTGAAAACAAATGCCACTTTCTCATTGAAACTTTTTCCGGTCATCAGATGTAAATCCGACGATTTGGAGTCATTCTCAGTTCTATTTTTAGCGCATTTTTTAAGAAAAAAAAATAAAAATAATGAAAGGTATCAACGAAAGGAACCGTTTTCTACCAACTACTGCCCTTCTTTCTGTTCTCTGATCCAAGTACGTGGTGGAGGGGGAGAGGGGGAGTGGAACTAGTTTTATCCTTCATGGTACTCTAATGAAAGGTCTCAACGAAAGGAATTAATTTCTACCAACCATAGCGCTCCTCCTCGACCTTTTATCGTGATCGGGTATATTCCCTTATACCTCAAGAACGGATTGTCGGAAGAGGGTACTCACAAAGGGCGATTGAGACGTCTGCAAGAAATATGTCCATTTGTGATGTCAAAACAAAAGCTGTTTCGGTTTAGAAAAATGCGCTTTATCTGCACAAGAGTTGTGCACAATGTATACTTGTTTTTTAATACGACGACTTCTATATATTTTCTCTAAAGGGTGGGACAACGAAACGAGGCAGACTAAATATCTCGTAAGAAAATACTGGAAATAACGCAAAATATGGTCAATTTTGGTTGGAAGGGAGAGATCTTTCAAAAACAAATTTACACCTCTGGCGTCAACCCCTAAGCAAGGTTGCCACCCCTTTAATAATTTTTATCATCATCATTTCCGCTAAGCGGCCACCATGCGTATACAATAAGATCAGATTTAGGAATGACATTCACAATTTAAACCTTAGGCATAGAGGGCTACTAACTATACCTCAACATAAAACAGCACTTCGAAATTGCCAGTTTTGTAACGCCATTAATCTGTAGTTGTTGTTTTAAGTGTTGGAGCGCATTCCAAAAATCTTCGTAACTAGGCTGATCATAAGGTCGATCTTTCGTTACCAGATAATGAAGAAATCGTTCCTGTTCCTGCAGGATACACTTTTTACCCACGTTGGGACCTTGCAGGTAGATTTCTCTTAAGCGCCTAAATCGCAACTTTAATTATACGGCTCTGGACATCTTGACGTCCTTGGCTGAGCAGTGAGCCGAAGCGTACTCCGCTGATGCTTCAAACAAAGATTCCTCGCGGACAATACCAAAGCATGCACTTTGCAGTAATGTACCATAAATTTCGCGAAAGTGGACTGTCGTGGTCTCACTTGCATCGCTTCTTTCTGTTCCCCGGGCTCGTTCTGCCCCGCGTCTGGAGCCAACCGATTTATATGCACTCCCAGTGGTTTTCCTCGTGGTAGTTTCCGCATCCGATGTATTAAGTCGTTTATTCTCTTCACGACTGTATACGGCTAGGTAACTGTCCTTCCCTAGCTCTTTGTAGCTTCGGGGATAGCCCGCATCTCCTCTGACGACGATACAACCAAACCAGATCTGCAGGTTAATAACCACCAGCTTGGGTCTTCATGTCGTCCTGCACTTGTATCCTATCGCTAGCTAACTGCATATTATGGCGAACCCAATTTCCCCACGGTTTCTT